CTGCTGAATTCACTGAGCATCTCTTGAGTAGCCCTCCCCCGACTATCCCGTCTTTCAGTGATACAGGGCATGACACCACACCCTGACAATCTCCTGCCTTCCTTAACTTGTGCTCTCTCTTCCCTACAGCATTTCCTTTCTTCTCTACTTGGCCTTCGAAGCCTCAGCTCAAAGCGTCACTTATCCCTTAAAATCTTTATCCATTCACTTCTCCTTTCTACAATCTCAAGTAGCCTTCATCACATTTTCTCAACAGTTACATCATACTTGGCATAACTCTAGTCATATCGTATCAAATAAGAATATATTGTATGTACACTGTTTTTCTCCATTACATTGAGGACTTTTAAAGAAAAGTGACTTTTTTTTTTCCCTGAGCCTCTTTTAAAGTGTCTAGGAGAGAGTGAATTCTCTGAAAATGTTTACAGAAAAGAAGAAAAATAAGTACAGTAAGAGAGAAAGAAAGAGAACAGGGATGTTTCACAACTGAGAATTTACCACAAATGGCTTTTCGCCTAGTTCCTAGAGATGAAATGGTTGTGCTGTGATCATAGACAACCCACATTGTTTCTCTCAATGTCACTCAGCCTGTCTACAAAATAGAAATAATAATAATAAAACTTACCTTCTTGGGACCCTTATGGAAGTAAACAAATTGAAAGAGTAGCTGTAAATTTTTAATTTTGAATTGAGTTCAAGGTCATCTAATTTTTTAAATGTATTTTTCAGAAAAGGAAAATTAGAAATTTGCTCTAAAATTTTCATTGAAAAAATTTTCTCTTTTGTTGAATAATGATAGGTGATAAAACATGCCATAGTTCATTTATTAATGAATTAGCCACATCAAAAGGCAATAAAAAGGGCATAAGAAGCTTCTAAGAATCATTCAAATTTTTACATCATCTCTCCATAAAATGAGCATTTCTATTAAAATTATATAACATAAAAAATGGAATTTTAATGTGTGAAGATTCTTTAAAATCACAAGACCACCTGGTAAAAGTCGGGCTTAAAACTTGTTTTGCCTCCATAGAAATTAGAAATAAAAGACACACAAACAAATAAAATTAGAAAATGCAAAATCAAAATAGCTACAAAATAAAACATGCTCCCCAAAGGTGGAAGTATCAGGACATCGCACTCAAAGATGCCCATAAGTAAGAGTATTAGGCTCTTGGTCAGCAGTGACATGGAAATTGAGAAGCTCTTCATGCATAGACCACCTACCTGGGTTATTGAGGAAGGCTCAACTGCAAGTGAATGAGCAATGTGGGACTACAAAACAGGGACTGTGACATCACAGCACAGTGAAAAACATGACTTACTTGCCAGCAAGGCATAGGCCAGAAGAAAGTGTCACAGTAGGCAAAAATACCATAAAGTTCAAAGGATGGTCACTCCAAAAAAAAGTGGTTTCTTCGAAGAGTAAGAAAAGGATGTTTAAACCTACAGAAAAGTTTTGTAAGAGTTTGTTTGAGCCAAATTTTTGAGGACATGCCCAGAAGCGAGATCTCAATGGACTGAGAAAATGCTCCAGAGAGTGGAGGTTTTGCAGTTCCTTTTATGCATTTAGAATCAAAGGAGAAAATGTAAAAATGCTTACAAGAATCCCATTGGTGGTTTAAGAAAGCAGGATAAAGCAAAATGGGGAAATTTCTAGAACTGGATAAAAAGCAAAATGGAGAAACATATTTCTTTTACATTGGCGAATACAAGAGAGTTAATAATCATCATTTACAGTGCATAGATACAGAATGCAGGGGACAAGATAATCATGAGGGGTTCTGTGGACTCATGCTCTGATGGTTTTGTGCTCTGGTGCCTGCAGTTATGCCTTTGAGGGAGTCTAGAAATAAAAGTGCCCTGACATTTTAAAGATATGTTATCCTGGATGTCCCTAAGAACAAGGGACAGGGCTCACTAATGGTCAAGATTGACCTTTGCTAAGGAAGCTGTAGGCCTGGAACATGACTGCCTGTCATGACCTGCCCAGTTAGGAATCTGTGATCAGACCATCTTGTGTGGTTACTTTTGGTCACTGAACTTGTCAGGCCTGCCATGTGGCCCTCCTGAGCTTGTCAGGTTTATTACATAGCCCCTTTTTCATTCACAATGCATTTGGTAAATGTGTATCAATAATTTAGCTTTGATGCCATTTTCAAAATATGGCTATGGTGATGAATAGAAAGCATTTCAAATTGAGAAGCATTGTGATAATAAGCATAAAACTTCATGCTTTGTATTTGTAAATATTTGGGGGATGTAAATATTTATTTTGATCCTCTCTGAGGAATTCCAATTTGAAAAAAAAAAGAAAAATGTATGTGAGAATGAAATACTCAACAACAAGGTTCTTCCAGAGTATAAGCTGAGCACCTTGGAGAGAGCATCACCCCATCGTTCCCTGGGACACAGCTAAGGAAATCAGTTTTCTTATACCCACTTTTTCCCAGGTGTTCTTAAAGAAGAGCTGGCTCTCCCAAGGGAATTTATTCACCATTAAGATTCTTTTACACGCAGGAAAAATCTAGCCCAATGTATTCAAGGTACTTAAGAAATCTACAAAGCCGCTAATCACTATTACCACTATCTCTCTTTTCTATCATTTCTTGGCCTTTTGGCTAAGATCAAGTGTACTATTATCTCCTTTTTGACTTTCAGTATGGACAACCCTTTACATTGGAAAAGCTAATCCTCCTTCCCAAAGCATTAGCTTCTTTCATCTTCAACACAGCCCCACCTAGTTGGTGGTACCATTATTTTCCGTGAGAAAATAAAGGCTCAGAGAAGGAAGGTAATACTCCTAGAAAGAGGCACATTGAAGATAAAAATCGAGGTCTTCTGGGTCCAAACCTTCTGCACCTCTCACTACCATTGTATTTATTTGTTTGTTTGTTTGTTTGTTTGTTTATTCTTATTATGGTGACATTGGTTAACGAAATCCAGTAAGTTTCAGGTGTGGAATTCAACATAAGGCATATATATACTGCATTGTGTGTTCACTGCCCATAATTAGATTTCTGTCACCACATATTTGGTTCAATTCTCCAAAAAAGAGCAAAATCCTCGGCAAATGCTCCTAAATTTTTCCAGAGCCCCTTGAAGGGGTAGGTGCTGTGTTTTAATTACTTGTAGGGGAAGAGGCTGTGGTGGGCTGAATTTCTCATGTGCGAGGTGTTGGCACTGGGTTTAGGGTACAGATGGGCAGAGGGAGGGGAGACCAGGGCGCAACGCTCCGAGCGGGATTAAACATCCAAATCAGAAAGAGAACAGCTGTAGCCCCTTTACATTACAGTTTTAAAATTCTGAGTGAATATAGAACTATAAAAATCACAAGTAGGCCCTGGATCATAACAGATGAATAAGGGATTTATAATCTTTAAACTGCAAAGAGAATGGCTTATATTTGTACCATTTCCTATTTTGATTACAATCATTGTCCTGAGAGCAGATTCATGTTGTGCCTTTTCTTATTCTTTTTGCAATCCATCACAGGGAGACAACAGAATAGAAGACAATAAAAGCCTATGCGACTTTAGACTTTTCCATTCGGGTTTCTCTCTCTCTCTCTGTCTGTCTCTCTGTCTCTCTCTCTCTCTGTCTCTCTCTGTCTCTCTGTCTCTCTCTCTCTCTCTCTCTCTCTCTCTGTCTCTCTGTCTCTCTCTCTTTCTCTCTTCACTCTCTCTCGCTCTCTCTCTCCCTCTCTGTATGTTTCCTTGTTTGTCATAATTTGACTGAGCAGTCGTTTTCTATTGTGGACTATTAGCCACCTCATTAACTTGGAAGGTGGAGATGGCCTGGACAATTAGCTTCCAGAATATTGAAAGGGTTACAGCACAAAGCCTGCTGCTTAGTGATTTTCATAAACTAGCTCAGGTATTAAAGTCCGATATCTTGTTCCAAGTTCCCAGACTGTAATCATGAGAAATGGCACAAAGAAAGT